CGTTTCCTGGGCCTCTGCTCCCTCTCTGCGTATGTCTCTGAATTCTCCTCTCTCCCTCTCTCAGATACGTGTACCATAGCTCCAAGTGGATGGTGGCTGGCAACGCTGATTCCCCCGTGCCCCCAAGAGTTTATATACACCCTGATTCTCTAGCTTCTGGAGACACGTGGATGAGACAGGTGGTCAGTTTCGACAAACTCAAGCTGACCAACAATGAGCTGGATGATCAAGGACACGTGAGTCGGAGAACCCCGCCTTCCTCTCACTCCTGCTCCCCTTTTTGCTTTAGAGCTGACTAGCCCCAGGCTTTTGCAAACAGGTAAAATAAGAGTCTCCATGCCACTTTAAGTCATCTTAAGAAAGTAAGCATAAAAGATGTTTTTTCTTCCTGTGGAATTTCATTTATTACAAGTCTAACGTTTAGCCAGCGTCTGCTATGCACCAGGTTGTGTGTATCAGACAGAAGTCTTGTGCTCCACATACTCACAGTCTAGTCAGGGGAGGATTCGGAGACAGAAACACAGGACAAATTAAAAAGTGGTGAAAGAAATCTCAACATTCAGTGGAGCAACTCACAGCGAAACAACTGAAGTGACAGTTCTGGCTGATTGTCAAGAGAAGGATTCATAAATTCTGGCTGAATTTACAAGAGAAGAATAGGCCCTAAGGCTTTCCAAGTATAATTGGAGCACCTGATGCTATTAATTTGCCTTTTGCAGTAAAATGTATACCGAATTCTCACTGAATTCCATGATCCATACTGGTTGCTATGGGAAGATTAAAGAAGCTAAAACCATGGCTCCTGTCTTGAAGGAAATGACAACTTTTCGAGGAAGGGAGAACACACACTACTCACTCTCACATGATATAAGAGAATGTCTATAAATTCAGTAACAAAGTGCAAATAAGAGCTTGTAGAATATAAAGACAGCATGAGCCCAAGTTGCAAATTTGAAGCAGGAGGGAACCACTGCCACGTGGCACAAGTCCTGGGAGCTTTTAGTAGAGTGAAGTCTACTGGTACCAGAGCCGTCATTCAGCATTTACCCAGCTGAAGCAAACATACCGCATCTACCACCCGTATCGGGATACTCTATGTGGCTCCATGCAGTGCCCTCCAATCACTTAGTCCTTTCTGCCATGGCAAGTACACCGATTTCCAGTTTCCTGTACATCCCACCCAGAGTCTGTGCTCTTCCTGCAATGCTTCCAGCCCGTGGTTTTATTTGCCTGAGAGCTTGAAAAGATGTAGGGATCTTAGAGCCAACCCTGGCTTAATGTTTCTCCTTCTCATTCCAGATCATTCTGCACTCCATGCACAAATACCAGCCTCGAGTTCATGTGATTCGCAAGGATTTCAGCAGCGACCTTTCACCTACCAAACCTGTCCCTGTTGGGGACGGAGTGAAAACGTTCAACTTTCCTGAGACCGTGTTCACCACAGTCACGGCCTATCAGAACCAGCAGGTAAGAGGCTGCCTCTGAGGGTCTCCTGCTGTCTCTGCTCTTAGAGGAGCTTATCCAGGCTTTTGGTAAGAAATGCTTAGTCCTTCTACATGGCGCCGGGGCGCACAGAATGAGAGACAGCAGGCTTGCAGGGCACACAAGGCACCGGTGATGACAAGGCAGTAATGCCTCCTAGCAGCTGGCATGGTCTAGATTTAGATCAGAGACACGATCTTTGCCCAGGAGGAGCAACCCTCCCAGCCATCTTCATGTGTCTCCGTACGTGTACCCACGTTCATAATCGCTCCTACATCCTGGCAGGTGCTCCTCACTGTTTGCAAGTACTGAGGTCTGATTCCTTCCTTCCCGCGTATCTGTAGTTTCCTGTGTATCCCTGCACCTGGATACAGTCAAGTCCTTAGGCCTCTAAACTTCCATTTAAGACCCACAGCTTCAGCTTCACTGACACTTTCAGATGAAATTGCCTTACGTGCGATCACCAGCTACACCCTAAGATCTGTATGTTTTAATGTCAGTAATATATCCATTCATTCCTTAAATGTTTAGTGAGAACTTATAATATTCCAAGCTTAGCAGAGAAATTGAGCAGATCAAGGCTTCTCCCTAAGCAGAATTCTAGTTGAGTGAAAGACACATATGTACATATGTCAATACAGTGGAATAATTTGAGAACAGAGATGTAGACAGGGTGTTTTTTGTTTTTGGGGACAATTCAGGAAGTTTTCCTGGAAGAGCTGATGCTTTTTCTGATGTTGAGACACAACCTATGAATTAGCCAGACTAATGAAGGAGGTATATGGCTGG